AATCTGTATGGCTAAAAATTTGCCCAACTTCTTAAATGAAGTTTTTATTTAGTATTTGTTTTACTTAATTTTTTCGAAATCTTTCCGGCCAAGGACTTTTCCTTTCTTTTTAAACATTTGCATCTTTATTGGGTTTGCATCATTTGTAACAAGTGATGGATTCTAATATCTTGGTTTTTAAGAACAGTATTTTCTTTCTCATCCTAAGTTTTTTACATGGTGTCAATATTAAGGCAAGAATGCATTGATGCAAATTCATGTTTTGCAAATACCTAAGCACTTCTTAATAATTTTTCTACAGCTCATCGCCTATTTTATAAAACATTGTTTAAATCACCAATGATCAGTGAACGAATCTAAATATCTTTTACATACTAGGCTCTTATACGTCAAAATCTTCTTAATAGCAATTTATAAACACCTGGAAGAGGAGACAGTATATATATTTTTTTTTTAATAATGCAGTAAAAAACGTTTTTTATGTCAACATGGCGTAAAGATGAAAGCTATCTGGAAAGTCCAGAGCTAATTTGCTGATATATTTAAAAAAATTTGAAATAAATTTTTTAACCATCGTTTACTCACACGAGAATAAATTTGTGTTGAATTATATTTACTTAGGCTTGTCATAATTAATTCTAGTAATTCCTGATCGTACTCGTCAAGTTGTCAAACTTAAAACTTCATAATATATAATCGTTAAGCTTTTTGACAAGAGGGCTTTTTCAAATCCCTATGTAAATTTTAATGTCGCTTGCTTTGCAGATTCGTTTTTTTCTAATACCGTCCTTCACAGATCAAGGCAAATAGCTTTTTAAGTTGCTAATTCGAGAGTATCCTGGTGATGAGCTTCTTGTCGTATTTTTGTATATTTTTTGCTAGCATCACGAATTTAAAAATAATATGGTAGGTGGAATCTTTCCTTCTACGCAGAAATCTTGGTAATACATCATTTCTGTCAAGGAATGACATCATAGTTCTGATTTTACAGGCTTTCGGAGTGATTTTTTGTAGAATATTATAGATAGAACTTTGCTATTCCTTTTTATGTCTGGAATTTCATCACTTTGTGTCATATGATTCGGTCAATGCCCCTTATTAGATAACATGGTTTTAGGCTACTTTAGGCGTAAGTTATACTAACATTTTAATCTCAATTTAATATGGGATCTCAGAACGCGTTACATTCTTATATGCATGCTGAATTTAATTTCAGTAATTTTAACATCTTAGATACCAAATTGTTAAAAGAACACTTTACACACATTGGGTGATATCATAAGAATTTGGCACTTTAAATTATATATTATCAAGAGTAACCTTAAAGCTACTTGATAAGGCACATCCGGCGGTGATGTTTTTCTGCGCAAATAAGTTTGTCTATTCTTTTGTAAGTCATATCTCTTATTGCGCATTAAGCCTCGCAGAACTACGATTATCCTAGATTGGCATTTCTTTACAAACCTTTCTGCATTGACTAATGTTAATCCACAGTTTTTAATGTCTAATTCATAATCAGAGCGATATTTCTTTATTTTGACAATGACTTATAGCTATTTGTTTCAGCGCTTTAGTACATCTATACAGTTGTGTTCCGTGTATAATCAATATTTTTCGGAGCCAGAGTGAAGATTACTAATCAATACTAATCTTAACTAATAATATATTGATATTCTTAATTTTAATTATTTGAGGGACTACTGTTAATTGAGAAGTAATTTTCACTTTTTAAATGAGGTTAATTATACTAAAATGCTTTTGATCCATGTTTTATCCAACAAAATATATTTTACTCGAATTTATGAAGACCAAGATGATGTGTACTACTCCGGTATGGTCACAGTCTTACAGTTTTTCTTTTCCATGTAAGCAAAGTGCGAAGTAATCATCCAGGTACCGCATGAGCACTGCCGGCTGTGGCGGTGCCATCTTGAAGTTCTCTTCTATTTTGTTAATCTAAACTTTGTCCAAAAGTAGTGAGAGTGGCGATCCCATGGGAACTTCAAGATGGCACCGCTAAAACAGGCAGTGCTCATACAGTACCTGGATGATTACTTCGCATTTTGATCACATGGAATAGAAAAACTGGAAGATTTTCGGAAGTTTGTAAACTAGATTGATGAAAAAATAAAATTTACGATGGAAGTAGAGGAATGTGATCGGTTACTGTTCCTGGATGTTGAAGTGATTCGCTTTAATGGGACGCTCAAAAAGAAGCCTTATGCTGGGATAATTCTCAATTTTCGGTCCCATCACAATTACAGGCTAAAGATAGGAATAATAAGGAGCATGATCGTCCAAAGCCTACATTTAACGATGCGGAGTTGGACAAATTGACTAAAATATTCATCAGCAATGGCTACTCAAATGAAGTAATATAAAGGAACATACAGGGACCAGTATGGCAGAGCGGGGACTATGAAAGAACAATAACGACGATGAAGGATTCAAAAAAGTGGATGTGTCTACTTTCCTGCGAACTAACTCAAAAACTACGCCCAAAATTGAGGAAATGGAATATTCGGGTGGTAATGAAAGAAAAATCAACACTTTTCACAAGTCTACCGACGCAGCATGAAAGGGTAGAAACATTGAATTGTTCAGGAGTTTACTGTATATTATGTGGCGTGTGCAAACATAAATATATTGACGAAATATGGAGGAAAATTAGCATACGAATTAAGGAAGATCAAAGGTCTGCATGAAAATGGATACCGAACGATCAGAATTACCGAAACATCGCACAGACTGGACACGAGATCAATTGGAAGGCAAGAGAAAGTAGGGCCCCATACGGTGACAATACAAGGAATCGGAAGATTAGGGAGACTATTGACATCCTTGGGGAGAAAAATCTAATGAACAGGAGGAAAAGGGATCGTGTTGAGGAAAGGGGGTGGCGGCAATCAAGCGAAGACGTCAGTGAGTGATTTCAGTTTCGAATAAACCAGTACAACTTTGGGACCTGGCAGTCAGGAAAGTAGTCGGACGGATAAGCAATCGGTCACAGAAATTCGGCTTTATGGCCAAATTGTACTAGAAATCCACTTGAGATCCAGAATTAGGCAAGGAGAGGATCCGTGAAGGGAAGGCCTGATATCTGCAAAAATAGGAATCAGAGCTTAGCCGCTCTGCTCAGTGAAGCGGCAGTGTACGTGCTTTTAGGGCCTGGAGTGAAATGCACATTGGGACTGGAACCGAGTGAAATCGGTCAACCAGAAAGATAAGGAACGGACTCAAGGATTTATTAATTAGACTAATTCTTGACGTATGTTGGAATGTGGCAAGTGGAGTCGAAGGACAAGGTTGCAGCACTAGGAAGATATGTGAGATTGCACAATCGTTGAACAGAAAATAAGTCTAGAGGTTTACTTTTACTTTGTATTTTGGCGAATTCTAGCTATTCTAAGAATGTTATCATAGCTGGCGTCCAAAGTGAGCCTTTCATTTTTAATATTCGTTGCTGTATCCCGAGCAAGTTGCGATAACGAGGCCAACCCATTTCTAAAAATATATTTTCTTTATATATTCTCTCTTTTTACGATCGATTTTTTTACTCACTTTTTTTTTCCAAAGAATCACTATTTTTGCAACAGCTGCGTCTTGCCTTCCGTAATCTGTTGATTCGTGTTCTGTATGCCTGCCTCACAAGGCCTGCTCAGCGGCATTGCCTATTGAAGCTGACTCCTGAAGAAGTGGCTCGTGTAATGCAGACTCATTTGAGCTTTACATGTTCCTATTCTTCGGAACTATGGGGCGGCCTAGATTCTGCCATTGTCGCCAGTCAGCCTCTTGAAGCCTCCATAGTGCCGGTTCACCCGATGATGGGGACGGGACAGCCGTATACTTCCTTCTTGCCTCATACAGTCAGACCCACTTCCTGTTGGTTTCCGCAGACTAAGACAATGCTGACGCAATCTAGAACAGGCGAAAAATCCGCAGAGCCTCTTCAAGTGGAGTATCCTGGTCTCTACATGAGTGGGTGGCTATACTTCATTTTTTCGTTACATTTTAAATTATAAGCTTATCGACCTACGAATCCTCTCTTCATGCACTTTCGTACGAAATCAAAGTCCCCCTAACATTGTTATCTCAGAGATTCATCCAAACCCAGTTTCTATTCGTATCTATACCGTTGGATAAGTAATGTAAGATTTTATTGGAGAAAATTTGAACTGAATGGGGGTTATTGAAAGTGTTAATGATGCCCATTATTCTGGGGACTAATTATGACTAGCTATTTGCAAATTGTGTAATTCGTGCATGTTTCTACTTGTGTCGAATAGCCAAGATTATCGCAATTATTTTCGAATCTGATCCATAGTAATATTTTTCAAAAATGCTTCACGATCTCTTTATTGATGTATAGTATCGATTTCCTATCATGTGAGCAAATGTAATATTTAGTAATTTTGCAATGGCAAACTAAAACCCCTATTTCTTCGATTAAGCTATAATTTAACTCATTTTCATTTAGTTTCAAATTGACGTAATTTTAATCGAACTTTATGTACACTTGGTCTTATAGTCAGTATTTCACCAAAGCTGCTCCATTTTTATATTCAATACATTCCATTAGCTCTTTTCATAGGTTTATATTGCTAGTGTTTCACATATTAACTAAAGGAGTTAATTTATTTATAATTTTCCCCGTATTAGCTTTCATTGATGTAAACTTCTCGTCTTGGATTTTACTTTCCTGAGATTAGTTGAGTGCTTTACATTTTATCATTCGTTTTATGTCAATTGCGACGATGCTTGTATATTTGTATTTTAGAAGGCTTTTACTTAATTTTTTCTTGTATTCAAAAAATCTGTTAAGTAGAACCCTTTAACAGATTGATGTTGGATTACCATTCATTTTGTCTAAGGAGGCGAATCCAAGGGATTCTTAGGTTTGCCTCGCCTAAAGTCGAAGGAAAATTGCCTTAGAGCCGTGACTGAGATTCGTGCGAATAAGTCCGTGTCATCTGCAGCCACTTCACTTTTTAGCAGGGTTTTAGGGCGAGCATAGGATATCCAATCAAATTATGACAAAGTATAGCTCTTTTATGCAGTCATTATACCCAGCCACATTCATTCTAGGTGAATTATCGTAAAGCATAGTGTCCAGCTCTCTCGATGTCCTTTACGGATTAAAACTAAGCAAGGATTCATTGTGGTCACAGGACGGTGCATCGAGTACTTATTCTCAAAGATCTGTAGTCATATCTCCAAGAAAATCCTCCTTTGCTTCTTGTGAGGCATACTTACGAATCCCTTCCACTCGCCTGTTAAAACGAATTGGAAAATACTTCAAATTAAAAAAAATTCAATTTATAGTGTATTAATTTATGATTAATTTATCAGGTCTCTTGTTTGAAAGGGGGCGTATTTAGTCGCACATTCATATATCTGCGCTACGCGTAAATACACATACTTATATATATATATATATATATATATATATATATATATATAGGGGCTAAAAAGCAAAAGTGTTCTTACAGTTGTTTAAAAATGGTACTTCATTAACTTAGTTCAGATGCGCT